AAAACCGCAAGTCCAATTGCTTTGACACTACATATATAGGTACTACATGTGGACCTCTCCCAGATTTGTTTATTTCGTGATGATATCTTCAATTCTCTAATTTTGGTGAATATTTTTGTCATTTTTGGTAAAAAGTGATATTTTTGACTTCTTGTTCAAAACCGCAAGTCCGATTGCTTTGATATTACATATATAGGTACTACATGTGGACCTCTCTCAGATTTGTTCATTTTGTGATGATATCTTCAATTCTCTAATTTTGGTGAATATTTTTGTCATTTTTGGTAAAAAGTGATATTTTCGACTTCTTGTTGAAAACTGTAAGTCTGATTGCTTTGATATTACATATATAGGTACTACATGTGGACCTCTCTCAGATTTGTTCGTTTTGTGATGATATCTTCAATTCTCTAATTTTGGTGAATATTTTTGTAATTTTTGGTAAAAAGTGATATTTTCGACTTCTTGTTAAAAACTGTAAGTCCGATTGCTTTGATACTATTCATATTGTTCATTTTCTAATGATGTCTTCAGTTCTTTAATTGAAATGTGCATTGCTAACAGCGGAGCTATCTCAGCCGATAGGCTGCTTGTTTATACTTTTTAGAACCTTCTTAATTTTTAGGATTTTTTTTTTTAACCAGTTATAAATAGTGGTTGCTCCAATGTTTATAGAACAGGGCATCTTACACATCTTAGGCTGTTTATTCTCATATCGTATTTATATTTGAACCACATTTAAATACATGTACAAGCATGCTATGGAATGTAAAAACTTGTTTTCCAAAAAAAAGGAGTTGAATTCATTGGTGCTTATGTGACCTGTGTATTATGATGCAAGTTTGAAACGTGGAGTGAAACCTTGAATCCATCAGATATGCTCAATTTACACTCAATGAAATTACTATATACTGCTGTAATTTCACAGTAGAAAAATATTCAATTTTGTAAGTCTAAGAAAATTATTGTACAGGTAGTTGTGCAGATTTTGTGAACACTCACTTATAATGAAATCACTGACATTTCAGGTGGTGACAATTTGACAGAATGCTTTTCATGTGTGTCTTTCATTAATAAGTTTATCTATCCATATTTCTGTAGGGCGAAGGTGTAAGATTTTTTGTTGTTGATTGTCGTCCTGCTGAACAGTATAATAGTGGTCATTTACCGATAGCCTTTCACTTAGATGCAAATCTGGTAAGTACTAATGCATGTTGAATGCTGCCCATCATTTGTTGATTTTTGTGGATGATAATGTACATTTTAGTATATTACGTTTTCTAAGAACAGTATATTTAGTCATATGGAAATTATTAGCTTGGTTAGCAACAGTTTATATATTGTATTGTACCCACAGTACTATAATACTGTTCCAAATCAGAACTATTGTGTCCAATGAGAGAAATGTAGTTATTTTAAAGACATTGAAATTTTTAAAGTTAGGTAAAAGTGAGGGAGTCGTCACCTGTGCATACGGCCATAGCATGACCCTTTGTACTTTTGCATTATCGTCACTTGGGACTCGATACCAGCACCTAAACAGGTGATGATCCCGTCGCTTTAAAAACAAAAGAATTTTCAAGGTCACATTGCGGGGGTGCTATAACCATGTCACTCATGTTACCCTTTCCAGTAAACCCTTGTACTCTTGGAACTTCAATCTGTCACTTTTCATAATGCCAAATTTGTTTTCATTTTCTTTCAAAAAGTTTGGCAGAGACCTGTAGCCAGTGGGAAATTTTTTCCATTTGTTCAAAATTTAGGAAGAAATTTTACAAATGTTCACAGTATTACCATTTTTGCTCTATTAGAAGCACACTTTAAAAAAAGACTTTAGAAACACTTTACGCAATTTTCATAATGTTATGTGCTACTAATAGAGCAAATACAGTACGCCAACATTTAAGGTAGTAAACCGACTGCATTTAAATAGTGAAACAAACTGCACATGTTAAATGGTTTCCTTACTCCTAAAAAAGTTAATATAATGCATTGTTGATAATGATAGTAGTTGAAGACAAACCCAACAAATAGTTTTATTTCCTTAAGGTAGAGATACAGTTTACCTGACAGGTATTTTAATTAGTTAATTAGGAAACCAAGATGACCTCCCTTGTCCACAAAACTATATATTTTCGGAAAGCTTATTGTATGAATTTTAAAATTTTGTTAGTATTTTTTCTTTATGGACACTGTAGTTTGAAATATGCACAAAAATGATAATGTTTGCACCTGTTATCTATATTTTAAAATCGTTTTTTGAGTATGTTCCACTAATCACAATTTTAACAATTTCACTCCCAAGTGTCCACGAACCTGCATCTCTACCTTAATCATGCCTCTGGATCTATGTGTACATTTGACGATCATATCATGTAATCTCTATTGCAGAAAATCATGAATAAATTTACAGGGATGGGATGCCCATGTACCTCACTCTTTCTGTTATCATGTGTTATGCTGATGTGTTTTAATTACCATATTGTATCTTCTGATGTTATAGTAATGTCAGGGCACAGGTCAACATGCGTGTTTGTTAGTTAGTTAAATGCATAAGAATATGTATCAATACATTTCTACATTTAGATTTATTCATCTAATGTTATCTTTATAAAAAGTTTAGATTATACTAGTTTATTCATAGTTCCCTATTAACTGAGGAAATTACCCTATTATTTCACTGTTAGATCGTTTACATGTTTTCTTATATTAAGAGTTACCCCCTATGAGAAATGGAATCGACCTCAAACATGCTAATTATTATGCAGTGTTACCCATGATTCCTACTCTCGATGGATATGGCGGTCATCAATGGAGTCCACATTTGAATTTAGTTCATAGTTTCTCAAGTTATTCACCTATTTGCCCCTCATCAAGGGCATTCACAGTTTTAATACAGAAGTTTGTACTACTGCTGTAATTACTGGTTGAAATGTTCAGCGTTCTACCCATGAATAAAGAAGTCATTAAGACTTTCTTTTGAACTCGATCACTTGAGTCTGCTGTATGTTCTGTGGAGATTTGTTAAACATGTCGATTTATTCGAACCGAATTCCCACAGCCACAAGTAATGTAATAAAATGATCATATTATTTGTTTCAGTTATTAGAACAGCCAACTGAGTTTTCCCAAGCAGTAAAGGCATTATTTGCAGCACAACAACAGGCAATTAAGGCACAATCTCTTGCTGGTGGTGAACATTTATGTTTTATGGGTAGTGGTAGAGAAGAAGAGGACCAGTACGTACATATGGTGGTAGCACATTTTTTACAGGTAAACCCCTTCATTACTACAGTAACAAATGGCTCCCACTACCTATTTTCCTATTACTGAAAAGCCTAATTAGTCCCCGGCGAACGTATTCTGAAACGGGGACTTATGTTTTGGGGTGCGTCCGCCTTAATCTTTTCACCATCAGACGTTCTTGCCCAAATTTTCCTGCACTTTTATTCAACAATATTTCTGGAAAATAACCCTAATTTTAGAGCCAACAGACAAAATTTTAGTCTATTTTCAGTTTTTTGCGGAAAAAATACTTTTTACTTTTACTCAAAATTATTTTTCTTCCAACCTTCTGAAGAAAAGTGCAGACTATAAACAAGACTATTTTTTGATGAAGAGAGGGAACCGGTGGTGAAACGATTAATTCAATGATTTATAGAGAAATTCTGCATAGATGCCATGTACTTGTACCTATACTACTCATAGTAGTAAGTTAAGCCTAATCTCTACTACATTCTATTTTTTACAGAGAAAAAGCCAGTATGTTAGTATGGCGGCCAAAGGATTTAGCTGTAAGTAGATCAACTGACATTTGTAAACATTGTCAACAAAAACTATAACTTTACCTATATAACCAGACATTTTAGACAAGGTATACTTCAGTATATCATTATACAAGATATCTACCAATGTACTTATCCGGGTAAGTGCCCATGCCTGAACAAACACCCCCCCCCACTTTTGACACAATAAAGAAGTTGCGGTCATATCCGGTGCATACGCCCAGGGGGTCTTTTTCTACACAAAATAAAAAATAAAAATAATATTTTTTATTCGTTGACTGTGGTTGTATTAACAGTTGACTTTCTTGAAGTGTGTCGTGATACTTATAAAAATTGTTAATTGCGTAAAACAAAGGGTGAACGCAAAATAGCTGTGACAGCTTTCTGCCTTCAGGGCAGCGCGTTCACTGTTGATTTTTTTCAGAATCATAACAGTCAGCAAGTCTATAAAAATAAATATTAAAGCAGAAACGGAAGTTCTCTTTTTGAAATATGTCATGGCTCTAAAAAGGGCCGGCCGTTTGGTTTGTGCTTTCTTAGAAACGATTCAAGCAAATCGTATAAGGAGAGCCGCTAAGCAAGTGTTGCACTCGTTCGGCTTTAGCGTTGTCGACAGTGAAAACAATGTTGCAATATTGTAGCAACCCGTACCAGGGAGAATGGTTGAAATCACGTTATTTTGGCTTTATAAATATTTTGTAGCAACTTGCGAATCCATAACTGGGGCCAGCAATTTTGCAATGTCATGCCGAAGACTGCCAACTTTTTTACCATCTTTTATCACCGCTATTGCATTTCTGTCATGAAAACTATTCTTCTGACGTTGGATAAAAAATAAACTTCCTATTTCAAGTCCACCGCGATATCCATATAGTGAGACATTCCAACCGCCGGAACTTGCTGAATGATAACTTTCACCGTGATTAATAAGCGTCAAGTCTGATAAGAAAGCAATGTCACGATTTGACCTGTATGACGAAATACTAGTAGTGATGTCATTCTT